CTGCGTGTAGTGTTGAAACCAAGTTCAGTGATCAGAAACTCATCGATCTTACTATGCCATTGGCGATGGGCTTGCTTAAGACCATAGATTGCTTTCAAAAGTTTACACACCGAATCAAGTTTGACTTTGTCGATGCATCCTTCAGGTTGCTCCATGTAGATTTCTTCGTGAAGGTCACCGTTGAGGAAGGCAGTCACCACGTCCATCTGATGCAGCTCAAGGTCAAAGTGCGCAACCAGTGCCAGCAGCAGACGGATAGTTGTGAACTTGATGACAGGGGCGAAAGTTTCAGTGTAATCGATGCCTTCTACTTGTTGAAAGCCTCGTGCCACAAGACGTCCCTTTGCAGTTTCGACCAATTTTCCGGACTCGTCAGGAAGTTGCTTCACTCTGAAAACCCACCTGGACGTCAGGACGTTTGATGCTTGAGATCTTGGAACAAGTGTCCATGTTTTGTTTTTGTGTTGTGAAGCAAGTTCTTTGTCGATGCCCTTCTGCCAGAAGCGAGCTTTTGGAGAATCCATAGCTTGCTTGTACGAGTTTGGGATTTCCGTTATCACATGGCCGTGGCTAAGGAGCCCAGCAGTCACCAAAGCTGCTGCCCACCACGCCCCAGGCGTTTTGCCAATGCGAGTGGACCGACGGAGATTAGTTGGCGGATCAATAGTTTCTTCCTCAACTACGTGTTGGTCAACTGTTTCGGTAGTTTCGTCCTCCCCTGCAGTTGGGGAGGAGTTGGAGGATTCATCAGAGTCTTGTTGTTCATCCGGCGATGATACTTCTGATGCCACTGCATCATTTTCTGCAACTTCCTCATCGATGTTCAAGTTGATTGTGTCATCATCAGTTGTAGCCTCCTCGTTTGTATCCATCGGTTCACCAGATTTGCCTCCCGTGGACTCGTCAAAAGTAACATCTCTGGATACGATCACTTTGTGCAAATCACCATCCCACAACTTGTAAGCTTTCGTATTTTCAGCATACCCTAGAAACATTGCCTCCTTTGCACGGGCGTCAAGTTTCTGGATGTTGTGTTTTGGTAATGTATACCAACACTTTGAACCGAAAACACGCAAATGACCAACATTTGGCACAGATCTCATCCATAAGTGGTATGGGGTCGTCTTAGGGGGAATGGCACGTGACGTGACTCGATTTCGAACGTACACTGCATTGGCAAGTGCTTCTGCCCAGAACCCCTTCGTAACTTTCTTGTGCGCTAGCATGGAGCGCACCAAGTTTACCAAAGTTCTGTTCAGTCGTTCGGCGACGCCATTTTGCTCTGGTGTGTACGCAGTCGTCATTTGATGCTGAGTACCATTTGCAATCAGAAAAGACTTAAACTCCGTGGACAGATACTCACCACCTCGATCCGTGCGAAGCACTTTGATCTTGCGACCAGTGTGAGTCTGAGCAAGTTGTGCAAACATTTTGTATCGTTCAAATGCTTCTGATTTATGGTGCATAGGGTACACTACTGACCAGTTTGAGTGATCATCTATGAAGGTAATGAAGTGCTTGGCACCACCAATGGACTGCACCTCTAAGGGGCCACAAACATCAGAGTGAACTAAGTCTAGAAAGAAATATGCCCGCCTCGAGGACCGCTCTTTTGGGATCACAGATCGAGTGGCTTTGCCGTAGACGCACGCAGAACATTTTTCAGAGATGCAATCATTGTCAGTATTGTTGATTTTGTTAGCCTCATTACCAAGTAGTTTGACTCCACTTACCACATTGTCACGAATCATCGAAGCAATACCTTGAGAATGCGCATGTGCAAAGCGCTCATGCCACGTTTGCAGGGTCGCAGCATGTGCAGATCCGATGTCACTGACGATGTCGAGAACGTAAAGTTCTCCAACCAATGTCGCAGTCGCCACTACAGTTGAGCCTCGTCTGATCATGCATTTTCCATTTTCGAACCCAACTTTTAGTCCAAGTTCAGTCATTCGACTGACAGAGAGCAGAGAGAACGCAAAGTCCGGAACGTGCAATACATCCGTCAACTTGCACGGTTCGATGCGGCCATTCACATTTAACTTCAAGTGAACGTCACCACGGCCGGCAACCTTTGCACTAGCCTTGGTTCCCATCTGAACAGAGGCGGATTCAAGTGGCTCATACGTTGCAAACAGAGATCGGTCATATGTAATATGAGCTGTACAAGCTGAATCTACGAGCCACGAAGGCGACATCTCTAGATCGTTGGTGTGCGACGCTTTCGACATCAGACATGTGAAGTCGACGCTGTTTACAACCATGTCGGGATCAGGTTTCTGTGTGACAAATGCAGATTGTTTCCGCTGAGACATACGCGGTTTATATGTGCTAGGAGGAGCCGGGCGACGCCCATTCAAATCCTTTCCCCAGCAGCGGGTTGCCGTATGGCCTGTATGACCGCAGTTCGTGCATTTGTAATCGTTTATGTCCCGATTGTTCGGGGCACGATTAACCAGAGCCGATGTCTGTGAGGAGCTAGACTTCATGTTTGCTCGTTGCTCTTCCTGCAGCAGACGACTTTTCACAAAGTCCAAACTGAATATCTTTTCCTCATTACCGAGAGCATCAAGTGCAACGATGAGAGCCTCGAAACGGGCACGCAGACCGTTGAGCACTGCCATGGCCATCTCCTTGTCATCGATGTTTACGCTCATTGACTTGAGGATGGCTGCCAGCTGCTTGACACGATTGATGTATGCAAGCACCTTTTCACCGGAAAGCATCTTCACAGTGTAGAACTCACGACGTGCAGCTAGTTTGTTCAGCAAAGTGTGCTGCTCAAACACGTTGACAATAGCTTCCCACATCTCATGAGCAGTATCAACATCACGTACATGCTCAAGATGCTCATCTGATAGGGAGAGACCAATCAGTGCTTTAGCTTTACTGTCACCTCTGATCCACTTCTTACGCTCTTCCGCGCGTTCCTCACTTGGAACTCTTCCCTCAACGATGTATTGGTCAACATCACGTAGAGCAAGCAGAAGTTGTATTTTCTGCTTCCACACGTAGAAGTTGGAGTCCGTCAGTTTGTCGATTCTGATGGATCTGTTGGAAATCTTCGACCACATGCTAAGCTCCAAGCCTGACAGATAATACACGTGTACGTCGACGAAACCTAAAATGCTTGCAAGAGCATTCTCAGGATGTTTGGTCGTCAAGGTGGACACGTGTCATATTTGTACACGGTTGCACTTTCCTATCATTTCCGAGCATGTTTCAATTTTGGTGTTGACACGTGTAAGTTATGTACCTCGTGGCACTCTACAGTACATTCTGAACATGTTTCATTTTTCTCGATTTGACACGTGTGTGATACGTATGACGTATGTGCCACAGTGGTTATTAATCGTAGTGTAAAATCTGTAATCTACAGTACAGTACATTCAGATATTATTGACTCTCAAACGGTCCCAAATTATTAGCAAGAGAGAGTGCAAGAAGGAGAGTCATTTGATTATCAACGGAGAGTGGAAGTAGGAGAGTCACTTGATTATCAACCGAGAGTGCAAGAAGGAGAGTCATTTGATTATCAACCGAGAGTGGAAGTAGGAGAGTCACTTGATTATCAACCGAGAGTGCAACAGGGAGAGTCACTTGATTATCAACCAGTGCAAGAAGGAGAGTCACGTGACCAGCCCTAATGGCTCGTATTGTATGTAGTTCGAAGAGTATAAGTAGCGCCAATAGTTGGCGACCAAGAGTAAAATGGCATCAACTTCTTTTCCCTTCAACCACCAGCAACCTTCAACCATCCTTCTTCCCTCTGCCCCGCTGACCTTTCTATAGGTTATGGGCCCAGTTCAACGCTGATCGTCGTCTTCGTTTTGGTTCAAGTTCGAGTTTCGCCGTCGTTCAAGTATCAGTTTGTTCAGCTCGTCAAGCAGAAGAAGAAGGTATCAGTTTCAGTCTCCGCTTTCGAGTTTGGTTTTTCAGTTTTCTCAGTTTTCGCCGTCGTTTTGAGCACCGTTTCAGCCGATTTTTCAGTTTGGTGGTCCGTCAGTTCCCAGTTTTTGGAAATCAACTTTGTGGTCTTGCAGCTTTGTCGTGGCAGTCGTTGTGTGAGCTGTGGGTGAGCCTTCCGCTTGTCGGGAGGAAGAAAGTCCCTAGTGGCCAACGCACTGCCAAATCCTCAGTGGTCCGTCAGTTCTCAGTTTTTTGCTTTGTCGTGGCAGTCGTTGTGTGAGCTGTGGGTGAGCCTTCCGCTAGTCGGGAGGAAGAAAGTCCCTAGTGGCCAACGCACTGCCAAATCCTCAGTGGAACATACCCTCGCTCTTGGTGAAAGGCTGGTGCCATTGGAAATCTGACTTGAGCGAGGGTCCGACCAAGAATCGTCGAGAGACGAATTACTGATCCTCGGGGAGGATCACAGTGTACTGGTCTAGTCGATCCGCACTCTGCCTTCGGGAGGTGCGTCGGCGGTGTGGGTAACGCTCTCGGTATTAGCCCTATAGGTACGACTTCGGTCCCCTGGGTGAAGAGAATACGTGCCTAAACACTGAACCTCTCACTATACGTGTATAAGGTCGCGTACCTTGATTAAGTTCGCACGGAAGAGGGTGACCCAAGGAGTGATTGTGAACAAATCACACGAGTACGACGAAGGCAGTTTCATTCTTGTGTTGTGGGAGACCCTCTGAGGCAGTACCGTATCAAGTTTGGACAAGCCGATTTAGGTTGCAGGGACCGTTCGCGGTAGTAACCAAAAGTCCTGGTTCGTCTACAGGCAAAGTTGTTGTGCTTACTCGTGGCACGTTTGATTTAGTTCACAGTCGAAAGACCCGCACTGGCCGACATATAGGGGTAGCGCCCTAAGGCATTTTTAAGAAGAATACGCTTGTTCCACTCCGCCGGGAATAAGCACCAAGAACGTTTCCGAGTAATCGCTACAAACTTCCTATACGGGTGGGCTTGCCATTGTGTTGACTATCGGTTAACGGCTTGGGATCCCGGGACGGAAGACCTTGTATACTCGAAGGGTACATCCATTCGGCGAAATGGATGACCAAAGCTCTGGATCGGTCAGAATCGAGAAGCTGACCGCATCTAACTTTTACATCTGGAAGCAGAAAATCGAGCTACTGCTTGCTCTCCGAGATGTCGATCAATACGTTTTTGATGATATTTCGGAAAATGCGACCTCAGATGATCGCAGGAAGTGGATTCGTGGTGATGCGAAAGCAAAGGCAGTCATCGGACTCACGCTTTCTGATGACTACTTGCAACATGTGCGAGGGTGTAGCAGTGCAAAAGAGACATGGGAGGCGATTCTGAATGTGTTTGAGCGTCACACTTTGCTCAACAAACTTTCCGCCCGTCGCGACTTTTACACTGTTTCCATGCTCCCATCCGAGAAAGTGCTCGTGTTCATCAATCGTGTGAAGCAACTTGCTGCCAGATTGCAGTCAATGAGTGTTGAGATTGACGATAAAGAAATTGCAATGGCTGTGTTGAATGGCTTGCCTCCACGATTCGATAACTTGATTGTTGCACTTGACGCACTTGGCAATGAGGATAAAGTGTTTGGACTCGATTTTGTGAAGAGTCGTCTGCTGCAAGAGGAACAACGAGAGAGCATGAAGACCGCTTCTACTACTTCACCCCACGCACCTGCACTTGTCAATCGCATGCCTATTCGACGTGATATGAGATGTACGAACTGTAATCGACATGGACACACCACAGCACGTTGCTGGGGCAAGGATGTCAATGGGCGCCGACCAGCACCGCCAGACGGGTTCCGGTCCCGCAACCCCGGCATGAAGCCAAGTGCATTCGTATCTCGAGATGAAACTTCTACTGCTGCCTTTGCTGAAAGCGACTTTACATGCCTGCTTTCGACTTCTTCTCCCGAAAAGAAGGCAGTGAACGCAGGGTCATGGCTTGTGGATTCCGGTTGCAGTGCCCACATTACATTTGATCGCTCTTTGTTCGTTACTTATGAAGAGATGCAATCTGGATCAGTCGAGATGGGCACGAAGGCTAGAGCCAATGTCGCTGGTCGTGGTGAGGTAGAATTCATGTTGAACGTCAATGGTAGTCCACATCCTTGCAAATTGTCCAACGTTTTGCATGTCCCTGATTTCGGATACTCGCTTCTGTCTGTTAGCCAAATCGTTTCAAAGGGCTTGCAAGTGTCATTTGAAAAAGACAAATGCATCGTTACTGCAGGACCAACTGTAGTTGCCACAGCTAGTCAAGTTGGGGATTTATTCATACTTGATGTCATGAATGAAACTTTCTCTGCTCATGTAGTTACCTTGCAGACGCTACATGAACGAATGGCCCATGTTAACGTACAAGGAATCGCATCAATGATTCACAATAATGTGGTAAGTGGCATCAATGTTCGTCAAAGCGATGTGATCAGAGCAATGAATCGAAAGTCTGACAATCACTCTCTCCTTTGTCCTGCGTGTGTGTTCGGCAAAGCAACGCGATCAGTAATCCCGAAACAGCGATCATCGTCTCGAGCACAGAACTGTCTTGACTTGGTACATTCTGACGTTTGCGGTCCGCTCGAAGTACAGTCCATTGGTGGTTCGAGATACTTCATTACATTTGTAGATGATCACTCGAACTTGGTAGTTGTGTTGGAAATCTTCGACCACATGCTAAGCTCCAAGCCTGACAGATAATACACGTGTATGTCGACGAAACCTAAAATGCTTGCAAGAGCATTCTCAGGATGTTTGGTGTTCAAGGTGGACACGTGTCATATTTGTACACGGTTGCACTTTCCTATCATTTCCGAGCATGTTTCAATTTTGGTGTTGACACGTGTAAGCTATGTACCTCGTGGCACTCTACAGTACATTCTGAACATGTTTCATTTTTCTCGATTTGACACGTGTGTGATACGTATGACGTATGTGCCACAGTGGTTATTAATCGTAGTGTAAAATCTGTAATCTACAGTACAGTACATTCAGATATTATTGACTCTCAAACGGTCCCAAATTATTAGCAAGAGAGAGTGCAAGAAGGAGAGTCATTTGATTATCAACGGAGAGTGGAAGTAGGAGAGTCACTTGATTATCAACCGAGAGTGCAAGAAGGAGAGTCATTTGATTATCAACCGAGAGTGGAAGTAGGAGAGTCACTTGATTATCAACCGAGAGTGCAACAGGGAGAGTCACTTGATTATCAACCAGTGCAAGAAGGAGAGTCACGTGACCAGCCCTAATGGCTCGTATTGTATGTAGTTCGAAGAGTATAAGTAGCGCCAATAGTTGGCGACCAAGAGTAAAATGGCATCAACTTCTTTTCCCTTCAACCACCAGCAACCTTCAACCATCCTTCTTCCCTCTGCCCCGCTGACCTTGCTATAGGTTATGGGCCCAGTTCAACGCTGATCGTCGTCTTCGTTTTGGTTCAAGTTCGAGTTTCGCCGTCGTTCAAGTATCAGTTTGTTCAGCTCGTCAAGCAGAAGAAGAAGGTATCAGTTTCAGTCTCCGCTTTCGAGTTTGGTTTTTCAGTTTTCTCAGTTTTCGCCGTCGTTTTGAGCACCGTTTCAGCCGATTTTTCAGTTTGGTGGTCCGTCAGTTCCCAGTTTTTGGAAATCAACTTTGTGGTCTTGCAGCTTTGTCGTGGCAGTCGTTGTGTGAGCTGTGGGTGAGCCTTCCGCTTGTCGGGAGGAAGAAAGTCCCTAGTGGCCAACGCACTGCCAAATCCTCAGTGGTCCGTCAGTTCTCAGTTTTTTGCTTTGTCGTGGCAGTCGTTGTGTGAGCTGTGGGTGAGCCTTCCGCTAGTCGGGAGGAAGAAAGTCCCTAGTGGCCAACGCACTGCCAAATCCTCAGTGGAACATACCCTCGCTCTTGGTGAAAGGCTGGTGCCATTGGAAATCTGACTTGAGCGAGGGTCCGACCAAGAATCGTCGAGAGACGAATTACTGATCCTCGGGGAGGATCACAGTGTACTGGTCTAGTCGATCCGCACTCTGCCTTCGGGAGGTGCGTCGGCGGTGTGGGTAACGCTCTCGGTATTAGCCCTATAGGTACGACTTCGGTCCCCTGGGTGAAGAGAATACGTGCCTAAACACTGAACCTCTCACTATACGTGTATAAGGTCGCGTA